CGTCGCTTCACAGTGCAGATGGACAATGACCCAAAGCATACTGCAAAAGCAACCAAAGAGTTTTTTAAGGGAAAAAAGTGGAATGTTATGCAATGGCCAAGTCATTCACCTGACCTGAATCTGATTGAACATGCATTTCACTTGCTGAAGACAAAACTGAAGGTAAAATGCCCCAAGAACAAGCAGGAACTGAAGACAGTTGCAGTAGAGGCCTGGCAGAGCATCACCAGGGATGAAACCCAGCATCTGGTGATGTCTATGCGTTCCAGACTTCAGGCTGTAATTGACTGCAAAGGATTTGCAACCAAGTATTAAAAAGTGAAAGTTTGATTTATGATTATTATTCTGTCCCATTACTTTTGGTCCCTTAACAAGTGGGAGGCACATATGCAAACTGTTGTAATTCCAACACCGTTCACCTGATTTGGATGTAAATACCCTCAAATTAAAGCTGACAGTCTGCAGTTAAAGCACATCTTGTTTGTTTCATTTCAAATCCATTGTGGTGGTGTATAGAGCCAAAAATGTTAGAATTGTGTCCATGTCCCAATATTTATGGACCTGACTGTATATATGGACCAATTTATGCACTTTTACCTTTACCATTTGTAATCATAGGCCCGTATGTGTATGTGACAGGGTTGGCGCCATAATGTACTTTTGTGGACCAGTCATTAATGTGTAAAGAGCAGCTACTGTGTAGAAATCAGCTGCTGTGTTGAAAGCAGCTATTCTGTTAAAAGCAGCTACTGTGTTGAAAGCAGCAGTATTGGAGGTAAAACGACACTTCATGAATTATAAATACTGAGTAAATGTAAAATCATGTACTGTAAAATCATCAACTACTGCAAAAAAAAATATTTTTGATTATTCACTATGCTTTAATTATGTTCAGTTTGTAACAATGAAAATACATCCTGCATATCAGATATTTACATTACGATTCATAATAGTAGCAAAATTACAGTTATGAAGTAGCAACGAAAATAATTTTATGGTTGGGGGGTCACCACAACATGAGGAACTGTATTAAAGGGTCGTGGCATTAGGAAGGTTGAGACCCACTGCTCTACATTGTACTAATTACAGTGGCTGGGAAGGGGTTAACATCAAAATGCAATGAAGGGGTTAACTGTGTGCTGCTGTTACTCACAGATCTGGCTGTTTTTCTCCTTGCTTTTCAGGGAGAAGAAACAGATCATTGTTCTGTGTACGCAGAACTCTGTGCTGTGAATAGCCACAGCCGATCCGTAGGTTTCAGCCGAAATGATTGGCTGACACCTGCTACCTACTAACAAACTTTTGCTGTGTCCATTCATAGCATGGGTCAGCAGGGGAAGCCCAGAAGAAAGCCAGTGATGTACGGGAACGTCGCTTAGCCTGACTGTGTCATCCGCACGCATTGGCCATACTTCTCTTTTTTCTGCACTCTTGTGACCCAGATTCAGACAAAAGCAGCTAAACTCAGCTGTCGGCTGACATCACAGAGCCAGTGCAGGCTCTGCAGGGATCCTGACAATAAAGTCAGGATCCACCCAGATGCCTCAACAGTAGCTGGCTCAGCCTCTCAGTTAACTTATTTCACTTGTATAAAGAATATATGCCATGGCAGGACAGGTGGGCCTTAAAGCTCAGCTGCCGCAAGTATGGTCCCCAGGTTTTGTGCTGGGAGTGTGCTCACTGTGTGCTTCCACCAATAGCTGCTTTCCCCTCCAAATGTAAACACCCACTGCAACAGTACAAGTCACCACACTGGCATGCAGGTGTTTGATCATGTGGTGCAGTGTACTGTGTAAAAACTACACATAAGCTGCTCGGATTGATCATTTCATTCAGTTCTAGTGAAAAGAAAGTTCAATTGGAGCTGAATGGGACTGAGATCATTTTTTTTAACATCTTTGTCCATTCAGTCTGTGTCTGCATTTAGACAGCGGACATGGGGGGAGACCTGTGATAGCTTTATGGGTGGCCAGATGTAATAGGACTTGTGTCCATTTAGGGCCAGTGCGTTTATGGCGCGTTTTGCTGCGTTCCAGAGACTTTTCATACAGAAAAAAGCAGCATGTTCTACATTGGTTTGCAGTGGAAGACACTGCACTGGTTTGAACTGGAACCCTTGGAATCCAAATTAACTAGTGTCTGTGTGTTTTTGATGTGGAATAAAAACGCTCTGCACTGCATTAGGCTACCTCTGATCATTCTCATTCAGGTCCAGAAAAACAGGACACGGTCCTTTTTCATTTTTTTTCTGGGCCTGAACAGACCAGGAGGTAGGCAGGTGTAAGCAGACACAACTGTGTTTACAAGAAGAAAAAATAAACCTCCTGTGCTCAAAGCACCGGATATGGCCTATGTGGAAGGATATCGGTCATGATATGCCTGAATACATTTGTTGTTTGTGAGTATACATCTACTACTTTGTATGATTAAAGTTTTTATTAAGGTCATGCGCAAGGTTTGTGCGCCCCTTTTCTGTTCTTATTTTAGTGCAATTCTGTTTACATTAGACTGCCCCTAGACCTCCGTGGAGCTTCTGATCAGGTCTGCCTGAAAACCCGACATGCAGATCAGATAGTCGTGTGTGAAAGAAACCTTACACAGCGCACATGTGTGGTGTGCAACCGGGCACATAGAAAACAATGGTTTTGATCTATGTGTAATATACTCATCATATCATGTGTGCAGTAGTGTGTTGTGTAAGGGCGGAACTATGCGTTTTTACATTATCTTTTTTTCTCTTTATTTTTATTTTATTACCCCCGGTTCACATATATGCGGCCGTGCGGGCCACGTTTTGCACAGGCATGAGAGCCCATTCATTTGAATGGACTCCCGTGCCTGTGACACACAGGGAAAAAGTCCCTGCACTTCTTTGGAGAACGCAGCCCACACGGGAACCTTGGTTCCCAGTACACTTGCATTTTCCAGTGCGGGCGGCGTGCCATTAGAACTAATTGCACCCGTCTGCGGGTCCGCATTTCTCTGTGTGGGTGGTGTGGCTGCATGGATTTACGTGCGGATCCGCAGTGGCACCACCCACACAGATGTGAACCTAACCCTAATGCAGGCCATAGACGGGTCGAAAATTGGCCGATTTTCGCACCGTTAGTGGGTTAATTGGTCGGCCGTTTTTCTGGGTTTTGGCACATTTTTTTTTATCAGTAAAGTTGGAAAAAAAAATCATCCGATTTTGCCAAGCGGACGATTTTCCCAGCAATGATGGGCAAATCGCCAATCGTTTTACCGATAAAAAATCTGCGCATGAGCAGTGACCTGCAAGAAGAAGAAAAAGAAGAAGAAAAAGAATAAGAATTCTAGTCTGCTATTATATTTTACATGAAAAGTCTTGCGGTTGCAACAATGTATCTATTTGTATCCAAATACAAACATCTGTATCCAAAATGGATACAAATAGATACATTGTTGCAACCGCAAGACTTTTCATGTAAAATATAATAGTGGAGCTCCATGCAAGGGACAAAAGTAATTAAATGCCGGCCGTAGACAGGACGAAAATCGGCTGTTTTTTTTACTACCATTTGTGGTAACGTCGGCCTATTGAACGACCGATTTTTCCTTTTTTTGTTTTTTTTTTAAAATGGACGGTTTTCGACCTGTCTATGGCCTGCATAAAGCGGAACTAAACCCATCAATTTAACAGTTTCAAAAATCAGTTTTATTCCCGGCATGCAAAGAATGTAACTGTCCCATTTCCTTGTGCTCTCCAGGAAACTGTCAAACCATCAAATGCCTGTTGTCATAACTGATCACAGCTGGAGCACCATGGCAGTTGAAATTCAAACCAAGGCTAAGATGGCAGCTTCCTTGGCTGAAAACAATAGGAGGGTTTAGTTCAACTTTAACTGCATAAGGACTGCCCATAGTACATTTACTGCTGAAGGGCGGCCCCTGTGTGCAAAATCACACATATATATATGTGATTCTGCATTTCCGGGTAGGGGGCGCGAGCCCGCCCTACCCGTGCTGCCGATCGCGGCCCCGGGTGTCAATCACCGGGTCCCAACCGGTGATTACCCGCCGGTGCCCGGTGATTACCGACAGGGAGGAGAGCTGCTGTTTACCAACAGTCCTGCTTCCTGTCAGTTTGGGCACACTGCTAAAAGCCCGATCAGTCCAAAATACCCTTTGATTTTTTCTGCTCTCAAAATTGTCGATACTGTTTTTTTTATACCGCAGTTCCCCCCAAAAATAAAAAACGCACAGGCGATTCAATCTATACCACCGAAAGAAAGCTCAATTTTGTGCAAAAAAAAAGGCTGTGAAAATTTCATGTTTTGGGTGCAGTGTTTTTCTCTCAAAATTGCGATCGTTTTTTATGACGCACAGGCATCGCAACTGTCAGTGGAAAAAAAGTATTTGGGTGCGCAGTGCAACCGAAAGTGCCACTTCTTTAACTGCTTCCTGACCGCCCTATAGAAGAATCACTGCCACAGGGCATCATGGATGCACAAAATCATGTAAATATACGTGATTCATGCTCCCGTGGTTTTCACGGCCCTCCCAGATTGCCCGTCAGTCCACCAGTCATCACATTTAACCCCTTGATTGCCAGGAGCACGCTCATACACAATAAACCTCCATTGCTAGTACAGTGTCTGAACAGATCAATATCTTTGATCAGATCAGCACTACACCAGCGTTCACATTAGTATAGTGTCCCCAAATATACAGCATTAGCGGGATCAGCCCTGGCACCTGCCAGCACCTGCGTTTAGCCTTTACGCTTACCCCCCCCCTTCTCCCCCAGCAACTGCAGTGTCAGTAGGTCACTGTCACTTGATACATTGCACACAAAACCGCAGTGTTTGCAGAATCAGGCCTGATCTCTGTTAGCGCTTGCCAGTAAATTTTGATGACTCTCATATGCAACAGAGTGCCAGTATTAGTGCTGCTCTACCTGGCGAGAACTGGCGAGCAGCAGCGGCCTAGTACATCCTGGTATTTCACATAGCAGCACTGCAGTATCGCTTGATGATGTGGCGAGTCCCATAAGTGCAGTACAAGCTGGTGCGGTGGCGAGCACAAGTATTGTCCCGCAACCACCAAGAATTTGCACACAGGCCCGTAGAGCCCCTAGTATCCTTCCGGATGTGCTTGCAAATCCCAATTGGCAGCCCACAAATTCTGCAACACCCGTATTTCCCCCATTCACTGCCCAACCCGGAATTCAGGTGGAAACAGCAAGTTTAACTACTCCCCTTGATATTTTGGAGCTGTTTTTCACAGAAGATCTGTACGCATTGATTGTGGATCAAAGCAATTTATATGCACAACAATTTATTGCCGTCAACCCTAATTCAAACCTTGCCAGACCATTTATATGGAAACCCATTACGGTTTCTGAATTTACATTTTTTTGGGGCCTAAGCCTCAATATGGGTGTTACTAAAAAAATGAATTGCGGTTGTATTAGTCATTGCAGCAGAGAACACGACATACGATGAATTGGGTTGATTCATCATATGTCGTGTTCTGTGCTGCAATGGCCAGGCATATGAGAGTATAATGTGTTTTATGCATTTCAACGACAATACACTCTGTCGGCCTTGGGGTGACCCTGAATTTGACTGGCTCCAAAAATGTTGGCCCTCATAAATCACCTTAACCAAACATTTGCAGGTGTCTATACTCCCCAGCAAAAAATCTGCGTTGATGTGTCCCTCATTAATTTTTCTGGCCGCCTTGCATTCAAACAGTTTCTGCCCTGCAAGCGTGCCAGATATGGGGTCAAGATGTGTGAGAGAGGCAACAGGCTATACATATTAATTTCGGATTTATGAGGGAAAAGATAGTCACGTGGAGCCCCCCAGATGCCCAGACTACATGGGGAGTAGTGGCAAGATAGTTTGGGACTTGGTGTCATACTTTTTCCATATGGGGTACCACTTATACGTGGACAATTTTTATTTAAGCATGTCACTATTTAGACATTTGTACAATCTTGGAATTGGCGCATGTGGCACTGTGCAACCTAATGTGTGGTAACCATTAGAAGTGGGTGGATGCAGGGCGGTATATTCTAATGGTGGGCATGCCACACACTTTTTTTCACAGAGATTTCAGGCTGCTAACAAAAAAAAATGAACCCAACAAGGACCAGCGACGTACATCACTGGACTTTGAATGGTTATACCAGGATGATTCCTACAGCTGCAGGCATCATCCTGGTATCACTTTTTTCAGTTAGTGATCGGCTTTCATGTAAAAGCAATTCTAGTGGCTAATTAGCTGCAGGATTGCTTTTACAAGCATCGGGAGAAGATGCCCCCGCTGCCTTCCGCGGCCTTCTCGGGCAGTCTCGTGCCATCGGGGAACCTGATAATGCAGCTGGTGTTTCTGTCAGTTGACCATAGAGCTTATTGGAGACCGGAATGGTGCCAATCATCTCTATAGTCTAAGGAATCGGAAGCTACGAGCATTTCATCACTTCAGTTTTGCAGGATATAAACAATTTGTAAATTAGGAAAGCATGTGATTACACTGATCTTGGTGAGATTAGATAATGTAAGGATCAGAGGAGATATCTAGAGTCTTATAGACCCCAGATTTCTGAAAAAAGAATATATGACAATGCCCATTGAAGTTAGAAGGGATATTTGCATTCCCTGTGATAGCATTTTATTTTATTTTATTATTTATTTATTACAGGTACTTGTATGGCGCCGTCAATTTACACAGCGCTTTACATACATATTTTGTACATTCACATCAGTCCCTAACCCTCAAGGAGCGTACAATCTAAGGTCCCTAACTCACATTCATACATACACATACTGGGGCCAATTTAGACAGGAGTCAATTAACCTACCAGTATGTCTTTGGAGTGTGGGAGGAAACCGGAGTACCCAGAGGAATCCCACGCAGTCACAGGGAGAACATGCAAACTCCAGGCAGGTGGTGCTGGGGTTGGGATTCGAACCAGCGACCCTAGTACTGCCAGGCGGAAGTGCTAACCATTTAGCCACTGTGCTGCCCCATTAAAAGTATTAAAAGTGATAAAAAAAAAGTGAAAGGGACAGTGTAAAAAGAATTTAAAAAAGAAAAAAAAAGCACCCTCGCCCCCTGCACATGCGTGCACCTGCGTGCGTGAGCGTTGACCCTGTGTCGGTATGTAAACAGTGGTTGCACCATGCATGTGAGGTATCACCGCGAACATCAGATCAAGGGCAGTAATTCTAGCACTAGACCTCCTCTGTATATCTAAAATGGTAGCTTGTAAAGCATTTAAATCATTGCCAATGGATATTAAAAATGTATGCAGTTTGTCGCCATTGCACAGGGCATGCGCAGTTTTAACCACTTCCAGTCCGGACACTGTAACCCCCTTCCTGACCAGGGCAATTTTCAGCTTTCAGCGCTATCACACTTTGAATGACAATTGCGCGGTCATGCAACACTGTACCCATATGAATTTTTTTACATTTTTTTGAGATAGATAAAACTTTATTTTGGTGGTATTTATTCACCGCTGGGATTTAAATTTTTTTTTGCTATGTAAATTAAATTGTCCAAAAATTTTGAAAAAAAGTGTTTTTCTTATAAAATTTTGCAAATAAATAATATTTCATCATAAATCCTGGCCAAAATGTATTCCGTTCTTTTTAGTAAAAAAAAAAATAAGCCAAATTAGTTTATAACCAAAAATTATAATTTTTAAACATTTTTTTTACATTAATACTTTTATATGTTATATATATATTTTTTTTTTACATACTGTCACCTTAGCAGTACAGTATCACCATGGTGACACTGTACTACGTTTGGGGGTTGATGAAGATTTTTTTTTTTTTTTGTACACTGATTGCTTTTACACCCATATAGGATGTAAAAGCAATCATTTCTCTTTCTTTCTGTCTGCATTCTTGCAGCCATTGAGAACTACTGAGTGAGCTGTGATTGGTCACAGCTTGTCACATGGTACAAGGCTGTTGTGAATAGCCTTGTACCATGTGACCTCTGTGATCATTCACAGATTTCACACGTAGTAAGCAATGATGTCACAAGTGACATGTTGCTTACTACTTTGCATGTGATCACTGATTGGCCAATCAGTGATCACATGATCGGGACCTCGTACAGAGGTCCCATCCGACGATCGGTGTTTCAGTGTGTCCGGAGGACACAGCGGGAACCAGATTGTGGTGCTGCACGCTACTGGATAGCGCACACAAGCAGGGTGCGGGGAGGCCGTTTATAAACGGCCACCCGACCCTGCAGTGCCACCGTCCAGCCGTTTATATACAACCGCTGGTCGGGAAGTGATTAAGGCATGTCATGTTTGGTATCTATTTACTCATCATACCATCATCTTTTATATCTTAGCAGTTAATTGGCCAATATATTGTGTTTTTGTGCATTAAAAGTAAAAAATGTGTATTTTTTTTTCAAAATATTTTGCGTTTGAAAAACCGCTGCGCGAGTACTATGTGACATAAAAAATTGCAACACCCACCATTTTATTCACTAGGGTGTCTGCTTTAAAAAAATATATAATGTTTGGGGGTTCAAAGTAATTTCCTAGCAAAAAATACTGATTTTTTTCATGAGAACAAAAAGTGTCAGAAAAGGCTTGATCTTCAGGTGGTTAGAAGAGTGAGCGATGTGTGGCATAAACTTCTAATACTGGGCATAAAATGCTCCCGCCCCCCAAAACGACCACTTTTTGGAAAGTTGACACCCAAAACTATTTGCTGAGAGGCATGTTGAGTCAATAGAAGAATTTAATTTTTTTACCACAAGTTTTTGGAAAATGACAAAAAAAAAAATATTTTTTTTTACACAAAATTGTCACTTAAATGATTTATTGCTCACACATGCCATGGGTATATGTGGAATTACTCCCCAAAATACATTCTGCTACTTCTCCCAAGTATGGGGGTACCACATGTGTGAGACTTTTTGGCAGTCTAGCCAAGTACAGCACCCCAAAATCCAATAAGCACGTTCAGGCTTTTAAAGGGTTTTATTTCTTCATTACACTTCCTGACTACCTATCACAGTTTCGGAGGCCCTGAAATGCCATAATAGCACCAAAACCCCCCAAAATGGCCCCATTTTGGAAAGTAGACACCCCGAGGAGTTTTATTAGAAGAATAGTGAGTATTTTGCAGGGCCTCTGAAACTGTGATAGGTAGTGAAGAAGTGAAATGAGGAAGTTACGCACCTTCAGGCTTTCAAAGTGGTCATTGGATTTCAGGTTCCTGTATGTGTCTAGCCCCCCAAAAAGTCTCACACATGTGGTATCTCCATACTGGGTAGAAGTAGCAGAATGTATTTTGGGGTGTAATTCCACATATACCCATGGCTTGTGTGAGAAATATATAATTTAAATGACAACTTTGTGTAAAAAACAAATGTTTTTGAATATTTTTGTTATTTTCCAAAAACTTGTGGAAAAAAATAAATCTTCCATGGACTCAATATGCCTCTCAGCAGATAGCTTTTCCTTTCCTAAAAGGGGTCATTTGGGGGTATTTGTACTGTCCTGGTATTTTACCACCTCAAGAAATGTGATGGGCAGTCAGAAAGTAAAAGCTGTGTAAATTCCATTATCTTTGCTTCCTTGACGACTTCCGCTTGGCTACCCTTCTTTCTCTCCTCCGAGCTACCACCATCATCCTTGGAGACTTCAACATCCCTATCAACATCAATAACCCGGCTACATCCCAACTCCTCCACTTAACCTCTTCTTTTACACTCGCACAGTGTATACAGTCCACCACCCACTCCGATGGGAACACCCTGGACCTTGTTTTCTCTCATCTCTGCACTCCCCACAACCTCACAAACATCCCCTTTCCTCTCTCTGATCACAACCTCATTACCTTCTCCGACTCCTCGTCCTCAAACACCTACCCTTCCAAATGTCAAACTATCACCAGCCGAAACCTCCGCAACTTGAACCCTGCCCCTTTCCACTCTGCAGCTGACCAACTTTACGACAGTATCCTTCCCCTGTCCTGCCCTGACCTGGCCACTGCTGCTTATAACAACTCGCTATCAGCCGCTCTAGACTCGTTAGCACCCCCAATTACATGAAGCATTAGATTCTGACAACCCTGGCAGACTGACCATACCAAAAATCTCAAATGACGCAGTCGTGCGCTGGAGCGCCTATGGCGCAAAACCAGATCCCAACAAGCGTTTACCCGATATAAATCTGCCTTCCTCACCTACACTTCCTCCCTTCACGCTGCCAAGCAAGCCTACTTTGTTACCCTCATTAATACCCTCTCCTCCAATCCTCGCCGGCTCTTCTCTACTTTTAACTCTCTACTCTCTCTCCCCCACCTCCACCCAGTACCTCACTCACCACCCACGAGATTGCTAACCACTTCAAAAACAAGATCAACGCAATTCGTAGGGACATCGCCACTGCTCAGACTTCCACCCCACCTAGCATCCCTCACACAAAAACCCCCTCAACACTCCTCTCCTTCGACCTCACCACTGCCCAGACTCCCACCCCACCTAGCATTCCTCACACTAAAACCCCCTTCAACACTC